CAAAAAGAAACGAGTGGTACTACATCAAACTAAAAAGCTTCTGTATAGCAAAAGACACTACCAACAAAATAAAGAGGCAACCTACGGAATGGGAACATATTTGCAAATCATATATCTGATTAAGGGGTTAATATCTAAAGATATATAAAGAACTCACACAACTCAACGGCAAAAAAAAAGAAAGAAAGAAAACCAAAAAAACTCAAACTGATTTAAAAATGGGGAGATCTCAATATGCATTTTTCCAAAGACAGATGGCCAACAGATACATGAAAAGGTACGCAGTGTCACTAATCATTAACGAAATGCAAACCAAAATCACAATGAGATATCACCTCACATCTGTTAGAACGGCAATCATCAAAAAGACAAGAAATAACACTTGTTGGCAAGGATAAAAGGGAACCTCTGTGTACTATTGGTGGGAATGTAAATTGGAGCAGTCATTATGGAAAACAGTATGGAGGTTCCTCAAAAAAGTAAAAATAAAACTACCTTATGATCCAGCAATTCCACTTCTGGGTATTTATCTGAAGAAAATGAAAACACTAACTCAAAAAGATATATGCACCCCACCTCCACCATGTCCACTGAAGCATTATTTATAATAGCCAAGATATGGAGGCGATCTTAGTGTCCACTGATGGATGAAGAAAGAAAATGTGACTCTCTCTCACTCTCTCTCTCTCTCTCTCTCTCTCTCTCACACACACACACACACAAACACACAACACACAGAGGAATATTATTTAGCCATAAAAAAGGAAAAAGTCTAGCCATTTGTGCCAACATGTATGGATGGACCTTGAGGGCATTATGCTAAATGAATTAAGTCAGACAGAGAAAGACAAATACTGCATGATCTCACATGTGGACTAAAAATAAAGAAAAAATGGGGGTGGGGGAAACCAATTCCAAACTCAGATATAGAGAACAGACTGGTGGTTGTCGGAGGCAGGGGACAGAGGGTGGGCAAAATGGGTGAAAAGGGACAAACGGTACAAACTTCTGATCATAAAACGGTAAGGCATGGGAACTTAAAACTCCTAGAAGAAAACAAAGGTAGTAAGCTACTTGAATGGACAGAATGGTGATTATAGTTAGAAACACTGTATTACATATATTCAAAAGCTGCTAAGAGAGATGTTAAAAGTCCTCATCACAAGAAAAAAACAACTTGCAACTGTGTAGTGACACGTGTTAACTACACTTACTGTGGTGATCATTTCTCAATATATACATATATTAAACCATCATGCTGGACACGTGAAACTAATATGTTGACTATATCTCAATTTAAAAAAAGCTTTACTAGTGATTTCTGTGGTTCTCTCTGGGGGTGCAGGTGGGCGTGGGCAGAGGCAAGAGCAGGGACGTAGGAGCTAAGTGGGCATGTGCACACACACGCACATGCGCGCACACACACAAACACACACAATTTGCCGATTGAGCATATGTACAGCTTAGAAAGAAACCGCCTTCAGGACATGATGACTGCCTTAGTGACATCTCAGTAGCATTTGGTTTAAGAAGAGCTGGAAGAGGTAAGTGTTTTGGAAACTCTGGACACTTAGTGCCCAGGCAGGTACAAAATGTTGGAGGAGGAGTCTTAAAGACAGTGTATACTTAAGGGATTAAAAAAAGAGTAAATAAGTTTAAGAAATGGAGAACCGTGCCCGGGGTCTCATCGCTGACGGGCACATGGCACCGCCTCCAGCTCAGAGGAGCCCAAGAGCATGATGATGACAGCCAGAACCAGGATTCTCGGGGTTGTGCTGCCTGATCGTCCAGTGCAGTCTTGTCAAGTTCCGCTAAGAGCTTGAAGGTCTACAGACTATAATTTTTCCCATGAGTGCCCTGAGAATCAAAGAGTCAAAGTGGCTAAAGATCAGCAACAGAAGAAAGGAGAAACCGGTAATTCAAACTTATCGGCCCAATAATAAAGGTGCTACGACACTGAGTACTTCTAAAAATGAACGTCGATTCTTTAGGTCACCGATCAACATCCAAGTAACCTTCTTTCTCTCTCCAGCTAAAATGGCGCTTACTATTATATCACCAGATAATTAAATCCTCTAGTCACAGATCGCATGCTGCCACTTACCTCACTGCACGAGGTGGACTGTGCTAATTCATACTAAAGCTTACCTTTGGCTCAGCTCCTCCAGATAGCGACCACTGAGAGACATGTTAACTTCTAAGGCTTTAATACGATTATTGAGTCTCATAAACACTGACTCCTTTTGGTTTGAGCCATGCACAAGGTTCCCATTAGCATATCCCAGATCTGTAGAATTTTGCAATTCGGCATAAAAATCTGTAGCTGTCCTCTGCAACCCCCTTAAAAGGGCATCTTCTGGAGACTGTTCTTCCTCTTTTACTTCAGGTAATGAAGAAGAATCCACGACAGGAGTCAAAATTTGCTTTGGTGTGTCAGCTGTGTTCATTTTGGCTTCCCCGTCTTCATTGTCTGGCACAGCAGCTGTGTTTACAGGTGGCACTACTGTTTCAGATGGCTTTGTGATAACTTGCACGGAGTTTCCATCTTCTTTAACAGTACTATCCATGACTTCGTTAAGTTTGTTTGTTTCATAGATCACAGCTGGCTTCTCTATAGAACTAAAACTCTCAGACTTCTTTTCCGTTTCATTATCAACCTCGACAGAACTCTCTTGAGGAATCACTTGTGATGGTACGTGTCCTGCCTCATACTGAACAGGTTCAGATAGTTCTATTTTAGATAATGAATTGATTTCTGGAGTAACATCTAAGAGAAGAGACTGAGAAAGAGTTTGAGGATGACTCGGTTCAAGTTCAATTGCATCTACAGTGTGATTAATCAAATCACCTTGGTGCACACTACTTAAGTCACCTAGAACAACAGTTTCAGCTTCCTTTTCCTTGCCCTTACTGTCCAGTTCTCCACTTGGAGGCTGCAAGACTGAAACATCTACTGGTTCTGCAGGAGGCAGTAATGGTGGTTGAGCTGACTCGAGATAATCTTTCTCTTTACTCACAGCAGTTCTGCTGCGTTGCCGATAAAGAGCCAGTCTAACTGAACACCATTTATATATGTATTCTGAAAAACTAGAAATGCAGCAAATTGTGGTCAGTTCACTGCAAAATATTTGTGTCTCTGACTCAAACCAGGGCGATGATTCATCTTCCTGTTCGCCACTGCCCAGAAGGGTCACTGTAGACGGACTTGCCTCCTCTTCGTCCTCTTGAACGAGTTGTACGATGGGGCTTTCTTTGGGAGTATCTGGTGGTGACGGCTCTGTGTCATGGCCATTTTCTTCACTGGTTACAAACCTGGAAATACATACCTTAATTACAACTCGCTTTAATTAGAAATCTAAATTTATGTTTAAGGAAGATCGATGTATCATATATCATATATAAAAGTAATCCAAAAGTATCTGAGTTTCATCTGTATTTCTTGTCAAAGAAATACAGATGAAACTCAGATACTTTTGGATTATTTTTCCCCCTTCAAATATTTTCATTATAAAAGCAAATATTCAGAAATGGTAACAAAAAGACCATTTATCAACTGACCAGCCAGATGACTCAAATCACCAAATTTACCAAATCGACTTTGCTTTTCTATAATCTTTAAGCACTGTTTGAACATGAATATTTACTGAACATATAGTGTACCTTTCCTTCCACAAATCTTCACAAAATCTTTATAAGCCTCATTACTCGTTATATCAGAGACCGAGCTACCCAAAGGCTATAAAGTCTCAGAGCCAGAACGAGAATCTAAGATTCTTAACACTTATGAATACTCTTTGTGTTTGAATAGCCTACTTTTAAAAGGCAGCTACATTTACCAAAGGTAATTTTTCTGTGGCTCATCTGAGATTCCAAAGTGACATTACACACACACACACACACACACACACACACACACACGCACATACCTGATTATCTAGAAAGAAGAAACATATCCCCCCCTTCTCAAAATAATCATAATGTCATGTGGGCTAATTTTTTATTATTTAAAGCCAAATACTTAACCACTTTAATGAAAATCCCACTTAAAAATAAACGAATAGTGCACCACTAACTCAGTCCCATCTTTGAGTTCTGGACTATGTCTACAGGGCGGGGAGAATGGGGGCAGAGCTAGTGGAAATACTGTTGGAAATTATAATGTCCGTGGTTCCTTCCACAATAAATACGCGGCAGGTAATATGTAAGGTGAGGACCACATAACACGAAAGATGCAATCTGAAAAAATAAATTTGAATACTAAAAAAAACCTTCATATGCAAATTTTCCTACTCTGACAAATTACTAGGGAAGCCAGGAAATGTCTTCAAATAGAGACTAATATCATAATAGTAAATGTAGGAATAAAATGGACAATATCTAAAAGCTGTACTTTCATTTTGTTGATAATAAAAATAAAAGGACCAAACTAAAATATAACTAGGCTATGCTTTTCTGAATAGATGATACAAAGAGACAGAGATATGGGTATAGATACACATACAGTTGCTAATAACACTTCTTACATATTTAGGTGGTTTATTGCTTATTATCTACCAAATAATTAAAATGAGCAATGTCTGAAGAAGGGGAGGGAGAAAAACTAAATTGAATTAATTTAGTAAAAATTAAGTTATATACCATCTATATACACCCTAATCAGAGCTCTACTTAAAAAAAGCTCAAATCTGGGAAAAGAAAATAAGTCTTTTCATAATAATAATAGTGACACCAGGCATGGATTCTTTTATTTTTATTTATTTTCTTCAGATTGACATATAATCACCAAAATGAACTTAAGAAAAACATACATAAAAATAATCGTTAAACAGAAAATAAACAATTATGCAAAAATATGTATTAAAAACCAAACTCTAATACAAAAAAGTAAAAACTGTTACCTTAGCCTGCTCTTTCAACAAATATTTGTGTGTGTGTGTGTGTGTGTGTGTGTGCGTGCGTGTGTGGTGTGTGTGTGTAGAGATATGTATATAAGTAAAATGAAATCAGTTTCACTTAGTTTTGAAACTTAAGGAATACTGTGTTGTTAGCTGAAGAAAACTAGTTACAAACTCGGGACCAGCAATCACAGCTCCACATAATTAGAAACACCAAGAATATCTCTATCCTATAGATTCTTAGGAACGTCAGGTACCCTTCACAGCTTTCTAGGCATGGCACAAGTACTTAATCGATGCTTTTAAATTTGAACTTAATAAAAACAGGACTTTAAAATTTGTCCTCAGAGCTATAATGCAGAGTTTGGTCCATTATTTTCAATAAGAAAAAGATTCAGTGTTGTGAATAATAAAAGTAATACATAATATCACAACAACAAACATTTGGTTCAGAGTGAAGGGTATTCCTACTACCCAAAAGCAGCTCAAAGATGTTTTAAGTGGCCGTGGAATGTCTGCCCTATGAGTCTGAGCTTTTTTTTTTTTTTAATTATTATTTATGCCTACAGCACCTGGTCTTCCTAGGTGGTCTCCCATCCAAGTACTAACCAGGCCCGACCCCATTTAGCTTCTGAGAGCAGTTATCGGGCTTGTTCAGGGTGGCGTGGCCGTAGACGATGGACCGTGGCTCCACTGGGGCATGAACCCAGGACCTTCTGCGTGTAAAGCAGATGTGCTCACCGCTACACTATGGAACCACGTCCGAGTCTGAGCTTTCTACAGACAATCACTTCACACACGAATCACAAGCACCTCGGTATGTACTAGTACATTCAGCTCCCCATTTTAACAGCACTCTAGTATCACAATATCACTTACTGAGGTGACGAAACAGGAGTTGAAACAGGAGCCGATTCGGGGATGTCAGGTGCAGCTGTGGCAGTGGCATTCTCAGATATACTTTTATTTCCTATTTTAAGAAAAGAGTCCTATGTTAATTTTTAAAAGCTATACCACAAATATTTCACTATAACAAATAAAAAACTTTAGTTTCTCAGGGGAGAAGAAAAAAAGCCAAACAGGTTTGCTACTGCAGACTGTGTTTATTTTCATCAAAGTTCTTTCAGAAAGAAGTGACTGTACAGGTCACTTCTGTAAGTAATGCATATTCTTTCCCCATTTCCTAGATAATTAACCCAAGTCAGATGACTACAAATTTAGTGAAATTTTACAAAACTAGTATGCCTTCTAGACACTTGAGTTTCTAAAGAGAATGAGAAGAAATGGGTCATTTTAAGTTTGTACTTAGAACTAAGTATTTTTTAAAAACAAAAACGAGCAAGATTCTTTTTCCTTGCTAATAATATTCTTATTTGGCATTTTGTAAGGGAAAAAGTATTTTCTAAACTGAGTAGCTACTTGATAAGTAAAAGAAACGCATACTTGAAGTACCATTAGGGCATCAAAGCCTCAGAAAGAGAAAAAGGATAAATTCATTATACTTTTACAGCAAGAAAGAGTCAAAAAACAAATTCAAGAATTTTATAGACAGAGTCCAATCATACGAGAAAACTTGTGCAATTCAAATAATCAATGAATAACAGAAGACTGGTAAGTTGCTTTGGATCATTTCTACATCTCTAAATGAAAAACAAAATTGCTTGGCTTATTAATTAATTTTCTTAACTAAGAAGACCCTAGAGTATCAGATATTGAAAAGACCCATGAAATTATTAGGTACCTTCTGTCAGGTCTTCAGTTTTTGCTCCCAGAATATTAGCGGCAATATTCACCATATTTAGAATGGCATCTAAAACAAAATTCAATCAGAAAAAATACCAATATACCTAAATTCTCTCATATAACTTAATATCAGATAGTTAAAAAACCATTTTATAATGGTCTTTTTGCATTTTTTTTGGACTAATTGTTTTTTTATTCGCCTTACTATATAAGTCCAATATAGGACACAAATTTCAGCCAAAAAGTATAAAGCATAAATCTGAATTTTTATATTCGGAAGGAATTTAAAATTTAAATATCCTTAAACAAAACAAAACAAAACAAAAACTTCCCCAAACTGATTACCATAACACTGTCTTCGTCCTATTACAAAATTCAAGTATAATTCCACATTATAGACAGGGAAGAAATGTGACAACCAAAATTCGTATTTTACCAAAAAGCTTGTTTTTCTTTAAAAAGGTTTAAAATAAAAATTAAAAAGCTTGGAGAAAAAAAGTTTTCCTAAACAGGTGATTATCATATTGTAAAAGTAAGGAAAATGGGAAGATTATTACCCAAAGGTCAGCAGAAAGATTTATTTTTAACTGTAAACATATAATATCTATTGGTAATGTGATTAAATCCCAATGTGACACTGTATATAATAAAATTTCTCCAATAACTTTGATCAATGTTTTATGGGTAATAAATCACATAAATTCTTTTATGAATTGGGCAGGTATAGGCATAGGCAGGCAGATTAATTAAGTCAAAGTCATAAAACTCTAAGTGTCGCAGGTAAAGCAATCTGCACACTCGCTAGTTCTGCCTCTTTGCAAAGAGGATGTCGCATGGCGAGTTAACAAAGCAGTTCAAACCTTCATGTCTACTTCAGTAGCTAAAGGTTCAAGAGGGGCACGAAGCGGCAGAACGCCACAGGAAGCTGGTACTGGGGACAGGTGGCTCCCTCCAGCAATATGATGGAACTTCAAGAGAATCTAACTTCCATTCTCAATCTAATCTCTGAAGTTAATTCATCAGTATCAGGTATTTCTCCTATTAAAATACTAAGACCTGGCAGGGGCTACATATCATGCCTCAGCAGTTACTTCCGTCTTAGACTTGTTCCCTGAAAGAGATCCGCAGGGTTTTTTCATCACACTTTCTGTGAAAACCATGGATGTGTAAAGCAGGGAAGGGTCTACGGAGGAGAAGCTAGCGTGCTAACAAGGTCAGGCCCTGTCGGTGGAGCGGATCCTGTAAGTGTGTGCTTTATGGTAGGAGAAGGCAGCAGGATATTTTAGACTGCTTTAAAACCGATGACCAGTAGACAGTTGTTCATTTTGACCTTCACATAATTATGATTCTACAATCTCAAAGACAACAAAGCAGTGGTACTTTGTTTCCAATTATTAGTATAACACACAAAAACTTTCTATTTGCTTTTTAAATGTCTAGGATTAAAAGTCAACCTTGACCACTGACCTAGAAAATTGGGAGAGACGTGGCCTTGATTCTTACGGCTAAGGAGGTACCTTAACATGAGATAAAAACAGAAACAGAATCTCTACTTCCTCACTAACCAAGTTAAAGCAGCAATGGAAACTCTGTTATTTCCTCATAAACCCACTTTTAATCTCAACCAATACTGCAATATGTGGAATTTGGTCTTCTGCTTAGCCTGCTGGCTAAAGTTCGGTCCATGCTGACTGCTTCACAGAACCCTAATTTTGGAGTCAAGTCTATAGGCTAAGTCCCTTGTGCTTCGAAGGGCGATCTTATCTCCGATTTCAAATTTTAGGACTTTATTATTAAAGAAGAAAAGAACACATCTATTAATCTGCATAAAGAAAGTAGCTTCAGAGTATTATTTTTTACCGTAAATGTTAACACTCGCACATAGAATAAGGAAGACTTATACTATCCATCATTTAAAAATATTATTTACCATCATTTCAGGGGCCACTTAGTAACATGCAAAATTTAGCAAATTTCTACTTTCTCAGCCCGACTAACCTATAAGCAATAATTATGCTATGTTCACAGAACCCTTTGAAATGTAGTTTTGTTTTTTGAGAGGAAGCAGTTTTGTGAATATTCTATTCTGCCCATTCTCAATTTATATCCAAACACGTGGCAGCTGGTCACAATGATAATCTGGCCACTAAAAAGGCCTCAGTGGAGGTGGAGGTGATAATGTGGAACACAATGCCAAACTAGATACCAGTCCCTGATTTCTCCTGATTGGCCGAACCCCTGATCTCTGGGCTGGGGGACCATTCACCCCATCTCATTCCTTTAGGAACGGAATTCCCCTAGGAACCAAATGCCATCGTGTTATACTCAGTCTCCAGCACAGCAGTGGCTCTTTCTGACACAAACAAACTAACTGTGCTACAAAAGGACAAGACAGACCAAGAAGAACTACTTCCTCCTCCGCGTGCGCGGCTACGTTAATCTCCAACACAGCAGTGGCTCTTTCAGACACAAACAAACTGTGCTACAAAAGGACAAGACAGACCAACAAGAACTACTTCCTCCTCCGCGTGCGCGGCTACGTCTGCTGCACGCTCACCTTCACTCTCTTTTCAGTCCAGGACCTTAAAATACATACGTTCACAAACAATGCTTTGACTGCGAACAGATACTACATTTGTCTTAAATACATACACAGAAACCGAGCCTTTAGTAGGTCTGGAAATTCTTACAAAACGAAGACTGTATTTAGGAGTAAAGGCAGACCTACGAGAATATCAAAATAGAGTCATCTGGGAAATCCATGTGACAAAGCACAAGGAAAGCGAGGGTGACAAGAAGAATCCTTGTTGATGTAAAATATTTAAATGTTCTGGTTGAAGAATGTAAACAAAAGAATCAGGCAGAAGAGTTGCCAGAACTGGATGCTGCTCTAAGTAACTTCTCTCTTTTTCGCAGTGAAGTAAATTATGGAATATGAAGAATGTCTGTATCTGCGGGATACATGCTCTGACAACTGAATCCCATCAGAAGCGACGTACTCTGGTGACGTGTATTTCTTATAGCTACTAACTGCTCAACGGTAAAAGGGAAAAGGAGTTTCCATTAAGATTAAAGCCACAGAATTGTTTAGGAGATACTATGTAGATATGAAAAATAAATTAGGTTCAAAACAGGCCAACGTCGAGCTAATTTAGAATGGGGTGATGATTATAGACAAACTTGGACACTCTGGTGCCAGAGACGAGCTCTTTGGCCTGATTTCATTCTGTTATTTACTCTTTAAAGTTAAACCACCTTGGAGGTGGCAGCTAAGTCAGGCTCAAAAATAGTCCAGTCCCAGACCCTTCAGAGAAAACCAGAAGGACACAGGCACAGAGGGCAGCAATGTTGGGTCACGCCTATGAGCTTTCGACAGCAAAGTCTTATCTCTCAGCAATTCCTCCTCCTCTCTCATGATGACGCTTGAAGAGATGGAGATCTCTCCAAAGCCCCTGTCCATGCGGAGGCTCAGCTGATACCTCCCGCCCAGCTGGTCTCACTACACAAATTCTGCCCACACCTCGAACATGGGAGGTAAATGGGACTGCCCTTCGAGAGCCATAAAAATAAATGACGTGTCACGATCCAAAAAGCAGGATCTAAAGAAAACTCTACGTCTAATTGGTTAACATAATATACTGGTTAGAGAAGTAATCGCAAACAGAGAAACGTCCCCCACTAAAATATGGCTACGTTTTAGTGGTGTCTAGGCACTGACCCCAGGAGAAAACAGAGAGAGGACACCGAGAACATCGGGGGATTCCCCTGATCTACATCCGCGGAAGGCGCTGCTTCCCGAAGGGCCCCCTCCTTTGCAGCGACCGTGACCGTCAGAGGGGCCAGAGAGCTTTCAGTCTCGGACTATTCTCCGACCCCATGAAATAACGGTGCTACTTTGGCATCACTGAGCTACAGTGACTATTATATCACCTAGACTTTTTAAATAAAAATTTAAGGTCACCTACAATAATATTAATATCCAAATATGCAAAATAGCATTATTTTTTCACTCCTAAAAAAACTACATCCCATAGCAGTGAATGAAGCACCTATTTTTAATGCCATCACTGACTAGATAGTGAAGGGTCCTACTTAAAAGTACTACACTCACTAATATCCAAAAAATCAGTTGCCGCCAATAGAGTAAAACAAAATATTGAGCTAATATGTAACAAAGTTAAATATTACATAAAAGGACTCTCCTCATGCAGGTATTTTTAACACTCCTCTTCCTGTTCCTTAAAAAATCCACACAAGTCTATAGTCTTCTATGGAGAAGACAAGAAGAAGGAGAAATAAAAGGAAAGAAGAAAAAGTAAAGAGAAGTGACTTTTAACTCCACATACTGTAGCTCAGGTACGTTATACCTAAGCGCATTTACTACTAGTTGAGTATTTTAAAAAGCTATAAAGACACGTGACGGAAGCTGGAATTCAAGCAATTCGACTCACTGGAAGCAACAAGGGAAATGCACACGCAGCTCATCTTCTATTTTACTAAGATTTACTTATACTAAATTCAATTACTAATCTCCAAATAAGATAATTTCTTCCAATAAGTTTTATATTCTTCATGACTGACCAAAAATAACCAACATCGGACTATAACTACCCACATTCTGGCAGTGAAAACAAAGTGTCAGTGGTGATGGTCTTTCCCAGGAGTCTCCTGAGCTGGCCCACCACTAGGTTCGGTGCTAGGCTGGAATGACAAGAAACAAACCACTAGTGCCTTAGTCACTGCTGCTCTAGTTTACAAAGAGTATGTTACTATAGTTATTGCTTCGGAGTCATTATTATTACGGATAAGAATAACAGGAAACTAATCACACCCACAGATTAAAGAATCCCCGTTTGCTAGGATTTCACTGAGGTGACCACCTCTGAAACTACCGTTTGAAGTCCTTTCCCATCCAGTGTCCTGCTCGCATGGCCAACGACCTCTGCAATAATTTTTTCCACAAGTAAATTCATTGCCCTTTCTTCACTCCAAGGAATTTGCCTAATATTATGAAGAACCAATTTATGCTTGTGTTTTTTCCTTTCCTCTCTTTGCATCCACTCTTCCTATTTTATTCCCGTAAAAATACTTTTCCAAAGCCAGTATCGGATTTCAACTCAGCTGAATACTGGGAGCCTCCTAAACTATACCACAAGAAAAAGGCCCACGCATGTCAGGGGCAAAAGTTGAGAGACACAAATAGTGACTAGGAAAACCCCAAAATACTCACTTGTAGCAGAACCAAGAAGATTTTTTGAGGATTTATCCTCCCCAGTATTATAATCCAGTGGATAATCTGTTTAAAGAGAAAATAAAGGTACTTATAGTGATAACAATCTCCAAGAATATGTTTTAAGCTCAGATTATGTCCTGTCAAAATCAAATTTTATAATATTCATTATACATCAAAAATATGTTCACAAAAAGAAAATGAGATTCAGAAGCCAGTGACCAAACAGATGTAAACCAAATTCTATTGCTTACCAAAATTTTAATCGCATATATAGGACTTTTTCTCAAGTTTTCAATGTACATTACCAACCCCTTGTAAATGTCATCATTTCATTTACGGGAAAATCAACAAAGGGAAAATTTGGATTGTTCCGAATAACTGAAGATATCTCCAAACTAAGACTTGATAAAGTAAAAATGGAGGATGTCCTAAAACCTCCCTCCAGGCTCACGGGAGTTTCTCAAAGGCTCAAGGCTCAATGTGCTTGCCCTTAGGTTCAAAGCAAATCGAAGGAGTTAACGCTCAATTCTATTTCAGTTATCTTATGAGTTTCATAGGTTCTGGGGACTGGCACAGGACATAATCAGATTTATAGCACTGATGTTATTGAAGGGAGTTCCACTTACAAATAAATGACTGACAAGCTTGGAAAACAACTCAATATACAAAGTAGAAAAGCACTTTAGAAGATAGCTTAAAGAAAAAAATAGTTATTAGGATTAAAAACCAAGAAAACTAAAATCTAAAGACAACCATCATGTCAATTTTTTAAAGTGGCCTATATTTACCCATTACTATTAAGCAAAATACATATATAAAGTCACCTGTTTTAAAGTCGCTTACCATAGTCCTCATCAAAGAGTTCCTGACGTTCTGACTGATACTGGGAATCAGCGATCTCTTCATATTCTTCTACCATGCTAGTACCAAACACCCTACGAACAACAATTTCATTCAGATTTCAAAATAAAAGTGTTGTTAAGGCTCTTCTCTTCAGAACGAATAACAAAATCATTAACTTTGGTCATGTTTTGAGGGCCATTAGCTTTTAAGACTCCAAAATGACGACGCTCCTTACATTGCGATCACCCACTAGTTTCCATTCGAATGTAAAATTAATCTATCTCAGGCATTTAAAAATACAATGACCAAGTTTTGATATCAGTCTAAAATGTTTCCATATATTATTGTGACAGCAAAATACCAAGCAAACGAAACCAAACACGTAAAATGATGGCTATTTTTACTTTAGAGAGAGAATTTTGACATTTTTCTAAAATGTATGCAAGGGCAATAAAGGCTTAACAGTTTATATTTCTACAGTATGAACGTCATATAAGAGAAAATTATTTCTTGCATCACTTTTTTTTAAAAGCCACTCGGTTAAATGCGTTTTGTCGGGATTACCTTATAAGGCTCAATGGACAAAAGTGCTCTGATCCGAAGTGGGACACCAGCTCCACCTACGGAAGGAAAGCACATGAGACTGGAAGCCGGCACCATGCATGCAAGATTATCTAACAAGACACTCTCTGATCTTTATTATGACATTTCTAAAAATAAAGTCCTCGTTTCCCCCAAAATCAGTACTTGTAAAGTCTGCTTTTTTGCCATGCAGTAATATGCCGAGCCCTGTTATCCGATGTTGCAAAAGAGAAGGGTGCTAACCTTTATGTACTTGATGAACATCTGAAGCAAGAGAAAGGAAAAGAAAATCAGTTCCAAAGTCTGGATAACATGCCCATAAGCAACATTTAATATTTATAAATTATTTTGCATAATTAAAGTATAGAAAGCAATGTATGTTGATGGATAAAATTGTAGTACCCTTAATTCTCTACAGAAATCGAAGCAATGATTTAAATTTTTACCATTGCAAATAGAAGTCTAATGAAATAAACTTTAAGGTCTTTCTAAAAGTAATAAACAGTCTCTAGAAACAACCTGTGTCTTATATTACTTTAAACAGTATTGCTATGTATCATCTATATATCTGAATCTACATATTGATACATATGTAGGTATATGGATCTATGTACATCCATACATACTGATCAAAGCATTAACCAGCATAATATGAAATGATATTTATTCTTGTACATTATTATATACAAGTTGTTTTAGGAAAAGCATGGATTTTTGATATGCTTTGTTATTTCAAGTATAACTTAGAAAACTAAAAGATACATATTAATCCACTTTGAAAATAAAGGCTACTAAAAAGTAATTAAGTAGATTTGGGTTTAGTTCTTTTGGGATAAGACAAACCCAGGTAAACTTACATAACATTTAATACTATAAGAATCAGAAGTAAATGTTTTTTTGCTTTTAGACTTAATTCTACCAAAAAGGGCTTTTTAGAAAACTAATCGTCAAAATGCTCTATAGTCGGCCACCATTAAAGGGACAAGGGAGGGAATTTTTTCTGGCACTTTTTCAAGCCACCAATAAAATGTTCTTCCAGTATTTACAAAGTAGATGGTGTAAAGGAGGATTCTCGGAACTATGTTGTAATATATGAGTTGTCTGAACTGTAAAATTAAATAAAACTGTTATCACATGTCAAATTTTTTAACATGTTTCTCCTCATCCCAGTATAGAAACTGTGACTGTGCTATAAAAAGGCCATTAAACAATTCTTTCACTATTCATTTTAAAAGGAACTGAAAATGTACCTCTATTTTTCTGAACACTGTTGAGTCATTAACTGAGAATATCAACTATTTTAAAAGTAGAATTCAGCATGTTTACATTACAGCTAGGGGTACTGCAAGTTTGCCCATTTATAGAAGCCAATTTCACACACGCTGAAAAAGACACAGACAGTAAATCTCAGAAGACAAGTAGGTAGCTATAAGTTTTCACATTTAAGGAAGAAAAGAGAGAATCAGAGCTGCTGTCATTCCAAAAGATCGTATTATTAACAGAGTAGTACTTGAAGGTATGGCTATTGTTTTAAGGGAAAAAAGGAGGGGAAGAGAGGAGGAGGAAATTCCTGTTTTGTCTAAATCCAAGTCAACGGTGATAATTGTGCTTGACTTACTGCTGGACAAAGGAGCGGGAAGACCGAATGAAAACGCTGACTTATTTGACTTTGGTATTTGGTCCCAGACTATTTTATTTGACACAGAAGAAAAGGCAAAATCTATTATAATAACAAGTATTTGGATATGAAAATTGAAATGACTTATGAATCTGATTCTAATAAGAAATCAGACCTGCTTTAAAGACTTCAATGACTAACAATGGTTTAGGTTTTGAAATCGAGAGAAATATAATACTATGAAGATGAGGTTTTATATAAATTCTCAAAAAAATGAGAAATAATTTAGAATTTCATCAGAGCCACAAATATCAAAAAAGTGGCCTAGGTTTCCAGTTATACAAGAAAGAATGTATTCATATTTGCTCAGAAAATAATATATCCAAGTACAAATTATTTCATTAAATCATACTTTAGAAAACTTCCTCTTAATTTTTCTGATTTCTAAACAGGTGGGGTGAGGTATAAAGTATGAATAACAGGTAGGGTTTCATTTTAGAGCTCAAGTCCCATCTGTGCAAACATTACCTTCACATATTTTGCATACATCTGTTCATCTAAAGGGAAACTCTGCACGTTCCTCTCATCTCTACCATGGAAAGTACCCAGCTTAATCCACTTACTTGTAGGATATCTAAAAAATATAAAACACAGATATTCTTTTTAAAAAACCATGTAACACATATCGAGAGGTCCCATCCATCTTCAAAATATTTCCTGCATGTTTTTTTCCCCTCTCCAGGTGAACATACTGACTTAACACAGTTTAAATATGAATTAAATACTGAGCGGAATAAACAAATTTTATTTTCCAACTAAAACCGATGGGTTCCTTTTTACGGGGACAGAGTATCTTGAAAAAAATCACACCCTTATCAAATAGAAGGGAAGACAAGAAGACGACAAAGCGGGACCAGGATCACTTGTTGACTTTTAAAACAGAAAATAGCCAAGACTGTTTTGGAGGAAGAAGGGAATACTCTTCCCACGCTGACAAGTGTGCAATGATATATATAAAGTATAAATCAAAGTACTGGTGGGCAGGGAAACAGGAAAAACCCTTTGAAATCATATTTGAATTTCACAGATCTTACACAGTTGTCCCTCCTTTAAAAGGAAATCTAATATAAAAATCTAAAATTATTTTTGTTTACCACAGCATTTAAAGAATTCCTCAAAGCAATGAGTGCTCTCTTATCACATTAAAAAATATACACACACTTGTCAGAGCCGACATGGCCATGTAACATACAAGAAAATTACAGCTTAGAGAAAAAGAAGTGATCTGAGCAAGGTTAGTGGAAGAAAAAAGGATTTTGAGGTCTTGAGGATTTATTTCAAAAACTTTATTTCTATATGCAATGCTAAGTGTGGGATCGGGGAAGAAATACCATGGAAAACCCTCTGTGGTCCACGATAGCAGAATGGTTAAATGAACAACAGCATCCTACATGGCATATTGTTGGCACACAACAAGTATTTATAGAATGAATCAACTCCTCCGTTAAGGAGAAAATATGAAGTACTCATTTAAAATAGTATGTTTAAAAGACAAATGAATATTCTCGGGATGTAAGCAGTAAAAACTGACTCTTTCGTCAGGATTAGTAAATAAATACATAGAAAAGACTGAAAGGAATATACTAAAATGTTAAAAAATACCTATCTTTGCTTGATAGGTTGTGGTTCTTTACCAAATTCCTTACAATGTATGTTTAGAATTTCTTTTATAATCACACAGACCTACAACAAAGTTTCAAAATATATCTTAACAAAAACACACCTCATGATATTAAATGAAGTACTCATGTATGTTTTTAAATAACCTTTATAAGAAATGACTGAAAATAAGAGAGCCTAACAATGAAAAGTAAGGACTTTAAAGTCACACAGATATAGATCTGAATTTTGGTTCCGCAACTCACAACTCACGTGACCTGGGCAACCCACTTAACTTCTCCTTGTCTGTTCCTTTACCTTGGAAGGGAATGACAAAACTAAACTGCTTAACGAGTGTCTACGCTACGATGGTACTACAAACTGCTACATTAATATAAAAATAAAATAATTAAAGTCTTAAAAAGTGACCCATTTAAAAAATTTTATTCTGAAGACCCAACAAAAATTCAGTAGAAACCGGCTTTAGAATTTACCTGTCACTGATAGAAACCAGAAAGTCTTTAGGAGTAGAAGAAAATAATTCGTAATTTGCAATATCAAGCTGCTTTACTTGGATTGGTTCACAAAGTTCAATAACAAACCTTCAAAAAGAACACAAGGTAATTATTTAGATAAACCAACCAAAGCGACAGTTCATACCAAACGCCACACTAACAGTCTGCATAAACTAAATGTCATGAAGTGACTCATTAAAAAAGGGGGGTGGGGGACTGGCAGCCTCAACTACCCATGAGGGAACATCTGCATTTCCCAAGCACATCGTGGGGTGAGGAGACTACAAATAAAACAAGACATTGATTTTTTATCCCGTACTTTAAAAAATATTTTTTCAATGACAAAGGTCATTCTTGGAGAATAAATGACTTCACTAAGAACAGCTGGTGATAGTATGAACTGTCTAGTCTAGAGGACAGTTTAGAATGTATACTGTTTCAAAAGGTGACATACCCTTTGATGTAGCAATACACTTTCAGAAATTTATCCTCAGGACACATGGCTCCAAACGCCTGCCCTCGTATATACATTTAATATACCAAAGCACAGTTTTTAAGCGTGTGTGGGAGGAGGGGGGAATCAACCTACATGATTAGCACAGAGGACTGATTAACAAAAGAGGGTTGATTTCATTGCCCATCCAAAGAAATACCAGACAGCCACTAAATGGCATGAGAAACCGTATGTTCCATTATATAAAAGTCTAGAAAACATAACTAACTTATAGTGATAAAAAAACAGAGCTGGAATTGTGCTGGGGGGATGGGAAGGATAAATTACCAAGAGGCAGGAGAAAACTTTTGGGGAGATGCATATGTTCATTATCTTTACTGTGCGATGGCTTCATGTATAGATGTCAAAGTTAACAAATTGTACACTTTGATATGTTGCAGATTATTTTATGTGTAGTTTATTGTACGTCAGTTACGGCTCAATAAAGTTGTTTTTAAAAAGTAATACTAGAGACCTGTATTTATGGACATGGAAAGATACCACAAAATATTGCTGCTTAAGAAAAAGTTAAAAATATGGTGCCATGTGTGTAAACTAAAACTGTGTACAGCATGGCACTGGGAAAAGAAATACTCATGACATCTAGTATCCTAATCAAGACTTTAATAAACTAATTATTATATCAAATGAGATTATACACTGACAATTAAATGTTAAATAAATCAGAAGCATCCAACTTAACATACAGTGTTTAATTCTGGAATAGCATCGCGTTCCAGGAGACTTAAGTAAAAACAACCAGGTGTCAGAGAAAAGCTCATGAAGAAAGCCACCACATCGGCTCAGTGCTCACTCTGGTTCAGGTACCACGTTAGGTGATTTAATCCCCCTTTCAGTCTTGTAACCAAACTGCAAAGGATATTATCTCCCTTTTATAAAATATAAACACTAATCCATTACTTCCCATTCTTCCCTTCTGCCTTTTAGTAGCAGAGCACCCCAAGATGCAGCCGTGCCTACGGCCACCCATCAAAGACTGCATTTCCCGGTCTTTGGCCGTGTTACTTAGTTCTGGGCAATGGGATGTCAGCGGAAGTGTTGATCGCAACTTCCAGGTCAAGCCTTTAAAATAAAGCTGTTACTTCTCCATTTGCTTGCTGCCACCTTATAGATAGGAATGAGGGTGTGGAAGATAAATCACCTCAGCAATGCAGGCAGGGACAAAGACCTTAGGGGAGGCAGAGTAATATGACAGGTGTGTGGGGCCTTTAACTGTTCTGTGTGACACCCCTGTGCCACCTACCAGCTTGGGCTTTTCTGTTGGGAGAATATTCAATGTCTATCTTACTTAAACCAGTTATTTGATCTCTGTCAAAGCAGCAGAATCAAAAGCCCTACTAGGACCTTTACAAATAAAAACAAACGCCCCAAAATAATACTTTATGATCTCAATCATGTCTTCAAATTCAATTTACAGACCAAATGGCACAATGAAAAACTAAGTTTTTAAAATGGCTCCTTAAAAACCTTAAATATTTTAGTGTGAATTTTCAAATGGAACATAAATGTTCTTTACACCAAAAGGGGTGAGGGCCAATAGTGAAAAAGAATAAGCGTTACCTATAGAGTTTAAAGTTGCTCCTTAAATTAAAATAATAATAATTATACATGTAAATCAATAAGGTGGTGGTGATTCACCTCAATCCTTTTGTAAACCGCTACTCTGGAGCAGTAAAATCAAGTAGATCAGTAAAACTGTTAGTCCATCGCACATTATTCCCCCCTTAAATCTGCTCCTTTGCCCATATTCTTAGTTATGGCAGAATCATAGCTCCAAGCAGTGAAGCCAAAATCCCAGAATATTCCCTACATGCATCTCCTTTCTCCATATCCAATGAGTAACCAAGAGCTGTCAATTTTATCTGCTCTAAGTACCTCTCAGGTACTCAGTCACCTCTCCTCTGTACCCAAACTGTCAAATGCCTTGTTAAAGCCTCACGTCTCACCTGAGCTATGACAACAGGTCCCTAACTGGCTCCAACTGCATTCTGCTATAGGCCATCTTTTGAGGACAGCTTTCTTAAAATCCCAGTGAGATAATGTCACTTATTTACTTAAAATAAACACTAACCTTCATGGACTTTAAGATAAACTTCCAAAAACTCTAAGCTGGGTGTATATGGCATTAGATGGCCTGGTTATTGCTAAACTAACTCTCCTGTCTCATCACCCACCATTACTTTAAATGTACTTTTATTCTTGTTACGACAAAAATGACTTCTTCAGGTTGCCACTACTTAGAGGTGCCCAGAAGAAATGTGCTCCCTTTAGCACCACCCCTTTATTCCTACAGTTTCTGAATACCCCTCCCCTCATCTGCTACTTCTTAGGAACCCTTCGAGACTCGCTCAGGAACGACCTCCTCCGAGAAGCCCTCTTTCATCCTCTCCTGCAGCTACGTACCATTGCTGTTTCCATAATCCCTTCCGACAGAACTTTTTACACTACGTCATAATTGTTCGACTAGATCTATCACTGTTTGTTTGGTTGGCTGTTCGACCTCCTCAAAAGGAAAAGCATTTTGTCTTCCATTTCGTATCACAGGACCTAAGGTAAGTACGGTACAGCACCAATCAAATGAACACTTTATTGAGTGACTACGTAATCATACCAATCTAACTTTAACATAAAAGTTTAACATAGTATGTACAAAAATAGAATGTGCTTTGCTAAATTTTATATTACTTACCAAATTTTAGTGCTGCAAGGATTCAACATATAAAGATCCATATTTTCTATAAGAATAGCAGATGTGCTCTATTTTAAAAGGGGGAAGGGAATAAAATTACTTAAGTAAAAATATTTATTTCAACTCTGAAGTTTTCTAGAATTTCTATATTTTTAGATCTTAAAAACAGACCTAAGTCTAGACTCTGAAGCACTCATTTGGGAAAAAACACTCATTTGGCTAAAATTTACCAGTTATGGCTATAGACAGCACTGTTAGCCTTGCAGCAAAATATTTGAACATCTGTTACCATAAAGGAAAAATAATTTTCTATTAGCTACTTCCTTTTTAAAATTTCACATGGGTTTAAAAAGTTAAAATCAGGGTGCATGCCCTTAAGGAGGTAAATGGATAAATAAACTATGATAAACATACAGACACTAGAATATTATTCAGCACTAAAAAGAAATGAGCTAAAGAGCCATGAAAAGACACGGACGAAACTTAAATGCATATTACTAAGGAAAAAAAGCCAATCTGAAAGGCTACATACTGTGTGATTTCAACTACATGACATTATAAAGAACAAACTATTTAGGGAGTAAAAAGATGAGTGGTTGGCAGGAGCTGGGGGAAAGGAGGGATGAACAGGCAGGGCACAGAGGGTTTTTAGGGCCATGAAATACCCTGTATGATACCATAATGCTGGATACATGTCATTACACCTTTATCCAAATCCACAGAATGTAGGATTCAACTCTAATATGAACTATGGACTTGGCATGACAATAATGTGTCACTGTAAGTTCATCGAGTATAGCAAACACATCTCTGGTGGCAGGCCGTCATGTGCAGGGGCACGGGGTATGTGGGAAATCTCTGTACCTTCTCAATTTGCTATGAACCTAAAATTGCTCTAAAAAATAAAATCTTTGAAAGAAAAAAAAGGGGTGCAATATATCAACCAATGTAACTAAGAATTCATACAAGAAAATGTCTTTAAAAGCATAATCCTACATTTATTAGTGAATTAGGAAAAAAGCTCATGTTAAATATAGTTCCCAGAAAATCAATGCCTATATTTAATAAAGTCACAAGGTTCCTACAGGTAGAGAAGAACTTTTATTTAAGTACCTTGGCTTCTGGATTAGCTGCCAAAATTTTGGCCCCACATTCTACTGAGGCATAATTATTTCGATTTTTCTGGACCTTTTTCGTGGCATGAAGAGCTCCATTAGAAGACGCATGCATTGACTGACCTGCAGACAAACCTTATTATAAACATATATATGATGATTATGATCGAAAATAAATACCCCAGCAACACAATAGTCTCAAAAGCTATATATAGGCTGCTGTCTAGCGAAGAACAGGTTTTAATACTTCAGAAAGTATTTTAAAAATCCATTAAGAAATTCAAAATGCTTTATCCCAACAGCTTTAAAATATCCCCGATAAACAGATCAGCTACAAAAATGCATAGTACTTATGTCTAAGTAATTTAACTAACGAAATGAAGCTTATCCATGAGAATCAAAGCTTTTACAAATATACATATTTTATTCTATGAAAGACAAATGCTATCCTTCGATCTCTAACCCCAGTATTAAGAATTCTTAACTCTGAGAATTGTCCTACAAAAGCAAAAAAAAAGTATTAATACTTTAGTCCAACTGTATCTACAGTTTAAAGCTTCATGACTCAGAACTTTCCGATTTTCCTCTTGGCCTTTATCTTATTTTAACCTCATTTAATAATTTATAAAAATGAAATTTAGTTTAGATTAAAACTGTATATAATTATACACAGGTAAATTATATATGGGTAATTAACAGCATCCTGGTAAGTTTAATCTTTAAAAAGTTTTCAAAGTTTCATTTTATTTTGCTAACTAAAAAGAGAAAAACATATTGAAACCAGTCCCTTCACAAAAAGGAAAAAGGAAAAAGGAAAAAGGAAGGGTCCCAGTGTACTCTTACTCTTTTCTTTTTCTACTTCCATGACTTTCTTCTTCCACTCATCAAACGTCGGTATATCCTCTGGGTCTTTGGGACTTGTTACAGGTGTAGCGTCAATTTCTTCTGGTTTCGTATAATCAGAACTCTGAAAGAAAGAAACAGATTTCAACTTTCAAAGACTACAGAGGTACTCTCTGGAACTTAAATAGTTCCAAAGAAGACATTTTGTAATGTTGGCTACTTTATTTACGGCTGGGGTATTTGACAACCGAACTGTAACATATGCCTGATTTGGTTTCATTGGGAAAATTTGTTCCTTCGAGATGCTGGACTATGAAATGCTGAGCTCCTATATTTATAAGAAGCATCACTGAAGCCTTCAGAACAAAGTTTAATTAGTTATGACTACATGTGAAAGACAAGGTGGAGAACAAAGTTGTAAATTAAAAAGGAACAAACGTGGACGTAGTCTTTGCAATACTCTGATTTCGTGTATTCTGTTTCTGTTAAATGGCCTTCATCTCTTTTACTTCCTTAATTCTTACCTGAAGGGGGCCGAAACTTCTCTGACAACATTTTTTCAGGAAATTCTGTACAGGCCCCTATCTGAAGTCGAAGGAGAACTCAGAAGGAGAAAGGAAAATAAAACTGTGATACAGGGAGAAGCCGTCTTTACTGTTTGGATCTCGCTCTTCAATATAAGCTGGTTTAGTTGTATTTTGCATACAAATAACAAAAGATAAAGTATCACTTTGAAATAATTATGGTTGAAGAGCCTACATTTAACCTTGTACTATTTAGTTGAACTTATATTCTGAAGATACTTAAATTTAATAATCAATGCTTCTTCCACTTAGCTAAGAACATGCTTAAATAAGGACTATGCGTCCAACATCAAAGAGGTGATGGTGGCAGAAAGCATTGAACCGCATATACCCGAGGGGAGTTCACAGCAAGAGCAACTTTACATACGGACTGTACACTGGCAACAACACAGGGAGCACAGCTCACTGCAGTTCCACATTCGTCATTAACCGCGTGACCACCGGTTTTATGGCAAACATGGTTAGCAGATTACGGATTAGCTAAAAACAAAAATGCACTGCACAGTGAAGTAGGAGACAGTGCAAGGTACACACCCACCTCGTTTTTCAAGTTATCTGAAGCATTCAGTGCAGATTTTGGATCACCATCACTCTGATCACTGGCTGAAACTTCTGACTCAAATTCTGATTTTGTTATCTTTCCTTTGCCATGTGAAGATGACACGTTTTCTATATGTTGGCCAACAAGGCTATTTGAAACCGAAAGACAGAAACAAATTTTAGCTAAATAATAAATTCATACGATCTAATTATTATCATTACTATATACAAAATAAACCAAGGAAAGAGCAAAGAGATCAGCTTTCTCTCAATCATAAAGTGGAATTAAACTCCACGCGCCAAAGGCCATTCAAACGCGACACTGCCGTTATTCCAGAATGTGCGAAGGGCGATACACCTGCTCGCACCCACCTTTCATGTGGGCTGACAAAGGCAGGCTGGTCGGCTGGTGCGTCTGCATGGAGAGCCTCAGCAACATCACAGTCAGTTTCAGACTGCTCAGTTTCAGGTGGCGTGGCTATAGGAATAGTACCAGATTTTTCTATTTCACTAAGAATAGAAACAAACAAACAAAAAAGAAAAGCTGGTAATTTAACTGACATAATGTAGCATAAGTTAAAAATGGTATCAGTAATTTTCAAACCATAATCTTAGCCAGAGAAGAATGCTTTACAGTTCTGCAGACTGTTTTCAAGAATTCACTTATTTTAAATCATGTAAAGTCAACTGTTGACTCTTGATCTGTTAGTGCCCTTAGACTCTCATTAGCTAATTACTAAATTTGGTCGTATCAACAAAAATAAGATTTTTAAATTATTTCTTCTAAGTGTGTCTCTAATGTTTCATTTCCTAGTGTAGTAAAGTATTCCGTACTATACTCTTAGTACAGTGTTCTACCAATGTTGGAGTTGTTGCCTATAGCATCAAAAAACCATCTATTATTTCAAAACATTGCACTAAAGTTCTTAAGGCACTTTTAGAATTTCATTTTAAAAATATAATCCTAATACTTTTCTTTAAATCACTTCCATTTCATGAAAGGGTCATGTCAAATATAACAGGAAAATAAGGTACTGTTCAAACATATAGTATCTAGCCTTAAATTCTTTCTGAAATAAGTATTTAATATTTAAAGATTTTAAATATTAAGCACATCTCCTGTTCTCTTGTCCTTCACTGGAACGAACTCCTAAATAGTAACTGAGACATTCTGTGTGCAGTTCCTTCAACTCAGCCCTTACATTCTTGAGGAGACTGGTGTTTAAAAAGTGCCTGTGGTAAAAAAATAGTAATGATGATAATAATGACATTAATTGACATACTATGTGCCAGATATTGTCCTATGTGTTTTATATGCATTAGCTCAATTGATAAAGAAAATGCTTAATGTAGTATTGAGAATTTTAGTTAATTCTTTGTAATATTGCTTGAACTAAGAGTATATAATAAGTTGTTAAAACTTTTTTCTAAATTAAGAAAACCCTAAGCCTAAATATTCTAAATACTTATTATCAAGTTTGAAAAGGTATCTATTCACACAAAGACATAACTATGAATGGAATGCTGCAATGATACTTAATAGAAATGAATAATCTGACATTTGAATTTTTTGATAATTATAAGGAAGATTACTTAAATAAGCATTGTGTTTCTCAAACAACTGGAACCTCATGGCTGGGAACCAATCAACAACACTAAGTTAAGCAGCCAAATACATACTCGTTATATTGTAAAATCATTACATTAAAAAGTAATAAAAACACAAAACGCAGGCATTATAACTTACTTAGGTCTGCTCTATAGCCTTAACTTTAAATCTGAGTATCAAGATGCCTTATTCCATAAAAGAAAACTTTCTATTATTATCTAACGAGATTATTATTATTTTTTTTTTTTCTTTACTTTGCAAAGACTTACTCAAGCTTTGGGATTGGAATGATTTCTGAGGTAGAAGAGCTGGAAATATTTTCGATGTTTTCACTGCCCCCAGCTACACTGGAAGAATCTTGTGGATCAACTGTAGAAAGTGTTTCAAGCATAGGTGGACTTAACTTTTTTGACTCCATATTCTGTTTTGAAAAAAGGTACATTAAATGTTGAGATTAGTAAATTACCTCTTTAGCTGAACAGGACTGTATAAAGAGTATGTCTCCAAGTGACAAAATAAAGAACATTCATTAAAGTATTTTCTCTTCTTCCAACGTTATCGCCCTAAGGAATATATTTCAGATTAAAATACAAGCTCTACATGTTTTTCATGGCATTTCATGAACTGGGACAAATGAATTTGTCTTTCTTCTTTCTTATTTCCTATTCTGTAACAGAACCTACAAATATTTCCCTCTTACTGTAATTAATTAATGCTAGTAGCAATACAGAAATCCTACGTAAATATAAAAAATAGTACAACACACAGTCCTTGCCCATGAGTAGTTCAGAAGATAATTTTTATTAATAGAAACAACACAGGGCAAGTAACATTACAAAGCAATACATGAATCTTGCTGCTCCTTCAGCCCTGCGTGCTCTGGGCCATTCGCCTCTTCAAAACACACTCAGAAATCTTCCTAACACCCGGTCATATTTAAAAACCCCTATCAGCACGTCCTCCCCCACAAACAACCCTAAACAGACCCAGCCATTCCCCTTCCTCCAGGCCGCCACTGTTCCCGGTGCACACTTTTATCACAGCATCCATAACACGTCACTGTCCTTATTTACATCTCCTCCTCTCCAACTCGACTATAAACGTCACGAGTAAGGACTATATCGCTTGATCTTCACGTTCCCAATGTCCAGCACAAGACCTGGCATACAGCTTGCTAACTGAGGCTCGAGTGAGAGGTCCTTATGCGCAGTTCAAGGAAAAGACAGACTGCGGATGACCGTGGACTGGAAGAACCGGAACTCAGGAGGCGCAGAGCAAGCACAGACATGAGACTCAGAAGAATATAAAATGTGATCAATTGGGGAATTACTTACACTGAAATGGAAAATTCACAAAGGGATGCAAATAGTTTGCATTTTTGGTGGAGGCCTTGAGAAATATTATCAAATACTGTATTATCATTTCGACATGTATTCAATGTAAAAAAAAATGAGGTGTTTTACGCTTTCATTTTCTTTTACAAAGTCTCCGAAACCTGACATATATTTTATAATTATAGCAAATCTCAATTTGGACTGGCCACATTTCCGATGCTCAAGAGTCACATGTAGCTAGTGGCCACTATACTGAATAGCATGGTCTATAAGATGCAATGAACACTTCAAAATATTTGAGCAAGAGTATATCATGATGGAAAATTCTAGAAAATGAACAATAGTAGGACTATTCAGGATAGTGATATAATTAGAAGGGCTACGGAGATCACTTTTCTCTTACTCTTCAGCACGAAAGTTTGACAAATGTCCTCCAAAATTCAACAAAATGAAAGTCACTATATCTCCTTAGATAGCCCAATTAAGTCATAAAATAGCTGCCTGAATTTTAAAGAGAATTCTCCCTTGTATTGAGCTGAAATTTGTTTTTGTTAATATCTGAGGTAGTTTATCCTTAGTCCTTCTTCCAGCTCAAATCTCCCAGCTCTTTCGGCCATTTCTGATATTAAATGCTTTCCACATGCTTCAGCATTCCGGTCAGCTTACATTCTGGTCTAGTTTTTATTATCTTTCATTAAACCTAGTGTACAAAATGGAAAATAGTATTCAGGACATAAGATGAGAGAAAAAGGGAAAAACATATTTTGACCTATTATTTATTAATTTGTATTTCACACTAAGTGGTATCAAAATATCCTGTGTTCTACATATAAATACTTTCTTCTGTTTTAAGTTAGGAAAAAAGTCTCCTGACATTTGAAAACCTAAAGAGACAAGACATATTATAGTGAGCCAAAATAAAACCTAAGAAGAAATGAGAACTTACACCCAAACTTTCACTACAAAGAAAATGGTCTCAACTATTATTAAATCAGTAATTTTGCACTTTCTCAAAAGCTGTACTCTTAGCAGGTAAATAGTATTAAGACCAGTTGCACGGTTCTTCAAAAGAAAAAAATAACAATACCCAATGTGAAAAAGCTGACCACTAAAAATCAAAGCAACGTGACTTACTTGTACATCCACAATGTGGTCATCTTTTAGTTTCTGTTCTTCTGGAGGAATAGGTAAGTTTGAACCCACTTTTCCAGATAATTCAGCACTGACAGGTCCCTCCTTTTCATCCTATATTGCAAGAAAGAAAAAAGCTAATAAAAATTGGTTCATAAAACAGTTCTGAAACAATATTAAAGACCATCTCTTTCTATACTTTACAACCAAAACAGTGTCTTGTACGCATTTGACTCTAATTACTTTTGTTCACACATTTACCATCCATCTTCCCGCATTCCCCTCCTTGCCCCTACACCTAAAATGTACACTGAGCTCAAGAACCTCATTTGATTTCTTCATAAGCACTTTAGTCCCACCATCCAGCACTATGTGTTAGGCACACAATAAGACTTCAGTAAATATCTGATAAACGAATGTATTTATAGCTCTTTGGATCATCTCTCTTTTGACACTCACTTTCAAGTTTCAGGTACCTTTATGTCTTTAAATGTATCTTCTAGAATGTAGAATGTAAGCTTCATAAAAACAACGTTCACATTCATCTTTGTTTAAGTAACCTATATAGCATATACCAGGCATCTAAATGTTTGCGGAAAGAGTATGTTTTCCCCCTTAATGCTTTGCTAAAATTCATTCTTATAACATTAAGTCTTCAAATTTCTCATCGAAGAAGAGATCAGATCTAAGTCTTGCACATTGTGGGTGAAAACATAAAATTACACTCTGGAGAGATATTCAACAACAGTCTTCAAAATTGTAACATGTTCCATCCCTGAAATATATTCTACATAACTCAAAAATTATAATAATCCACTCCAAATATCATGCCAAAAACACCCCCAAGCATATAAGTATGTATGTTCACACACAAACATACATAAACACATAGCTGATACAATGCAAAAGTCTGTGAATGAAGAAATGTTTAATTATGACATATTTATATAATGAAATAAAAATGTAGCCATTCAGAAGAATACAGCAATATGAAAAGGTGTCCATGAGATATTATTAGGGGACAGTGAGAAGTCAATATGCATTATATTTACAATATGACATATTAATGAAAATAAAAACATTAATTTGTTTGCTACATACTGGTATATCTAAACCTAAGAGAACAGTCTGTACATTTTCACAAGAAACTGTAAATTATGGTTCCTTTGGGGAGGGAAATAGGATATAAATATTTTATAGTCAGTATAAATTCCTTCTGTATTTTAAAATAAGTACATTGATTAGGGGGGCAAATCTAGTCAATATTCATCTTTTATCATTTAAAATGATAAATAAATAACTTAGAGTCCATCAAGTTTCTTGGACTGATCTATTCACCCCACCCAATTACATAAAAGAAACTAGCCATGGGTTGCTGACTCTCTTTATAAGCTGTATTACTAATAGTTTTTAATTTATAAGAACAGGGTTTCCTTAGAAACCCTTTATTCAGTAAATTAAAAAGCAAGCCACCAGTTTTCAGTTCTCTGAATAGGTGCTACTTTTCTCCCTATTGTAAGACCAAGGATGTTGTTACGACATTCCAAACATAAGCAATAAGAATATATAAATATCCTAGAGATTGCTTAATTCCAGAGTTACCCAAGTAAGTCCTCAGATTATAGCAAGGAAATTTACAAATCTCCACCAAAAATTACGTCATAGTATTTTTGAAATTACTTTTATTTTGAAGATTTTGAAGCAGTCTTAGAAAGATGACACACAAATGACATCGTCAACTTTATTTACGGTACCTTGCTCTGGAATCGTACATCTTCATTTTCTAGCGCACAACTGTCATCTTGAGAGTAATATGATGAAGCTGAAGAACTCTCTTTACAACATACATGCCAACTGGGAAGCCTGTAAAACATGCATCACCACCATCGCCACCAAAAGAAAAAAGAAAGAAAAAAGAAAAGGTGTTAAGCAAAGGGCTTGAATTTGAGGCAATAGCCACACAGATGGTTCTTATCTAATGTCCTTAAGAACTTAACTTAATGATGACAAATGATGTACATAAGACAAGGGATTTTATTTAACATCCTAAGAAAAATATAGAAAAAAAAAGTAAGGCACTATGAATTTCATGAAATATACAGAAAAGACTTCACAAAAGGAATATTTGATAATTATCTCAGAAGGAATAGAGAAAGCTGTTAAAGCACCAGGTGCCAATAATATTCTAAATTCTAACCAACAGTTAAGAACAAATAACTCTAAAGTATCTAAACTATTTCAAAGCATAGAAGCTTCCAATATATGTTATGAGGAACATAACAGTGATATCAAAAATTAACAGAAAGAGCACACACAAGTAAATACCATAGGTTAATGATACTTATGAAATGAGACACAAACAAAGCTTGTAAAGAAAACAATAAAGAAAAGTCTCTAAGAACACAGCAAAGAAATAACATGCCACTGTTATGATCAAGTAGCATTTAGCACTCACTGATATTCAAAAATGGTTTAAAATAAAATCTATTTATTTAGTTTGCCATAGAAAAATACCAAGGAAAAATATCTTATAATTTATCTCTACAGGCACCGAAAGACATCTGCCAAATTTGCACATCCCTCAAGACATTTTAAGTCAATAAGTAGATATTTAACGTGGGAAACATATATGCATAATACACAAACCAAAAAGCCAATATCAGACTTAGTGAAGGAACCTAAAAATACCCCTATTTAGATCTGAAACAAGGTAAGAATGTCCATTATTACTAGCATTACATAGTAAGATAAAAAAGGTATAAAAATGGAAAAAGAGAGTAAATTATCACAGATGATGACTTTATACAGGTGGAAAACTAAAAAGAATCACCTACTGAAAGAAGTCTTGGGTACGAAAATCATATTCCTAGGTATAAAATTAGGAAACAAATCAATAGACTCTACTCAAACCATTACCACCAGTTACAAAATGTAAATCCTTCAGGTGTCAACCGAAACAATAAAATACTAAATATAAACTTAGCAAGAAATGTACAATTAAGTAGAACTGTTTGAAGTTGCCAATATTTGACAATTCTTTAACTTGAAAAAAAGTCAATTTTACACAATTCGAGCTAACGTGTGGAAGATTTTAAAACCATACATGGACTTAAATAGAACAAAAAGCAGAAGGAAGAACTTACCCTTTTTTCTTTTCCTGCCTCATTATTTGAGCTGGGACCTCTCAATGTACATACCTTAATTTAAAAGTACTCTACTGCTAAAAAATTCTAACCATCATCTGAGCCTTCAGAGAACGGTAATCTTTTGGCTGGTGGAGGGCCCTGCCTTGATGCCGATGGCTGCTGACTGGTCAGAGTGGTGGCTGAAAGATGGGGTGGCTGCGGCAATTTCTTAAAATAAGACAATCATGAAGTTAGCCGCGTCAACTGACTCTTCGTGAATTTCTCTGGAGCATGTGATGCTCTTTCATATCTACCGTATAACTTCTTTCAAAACTGGAGTCGATCCTCGCAAACCCTGCTGGCTGCTTTATCAGATAAGTTTATGTAGTAATTCCAAAACCTTTGTTGTTATTTCAACCATCTTCACAGCATCTTTACCAGTAGATTCCATCTCAAAAAAACACTTTCTTTGCTCTTCCTAAGAAGCAACTCCTCGTCCATTCAAGTTTTATCATGAGATGGCAGCAATTCGGTCCCATCTTCAGGCTCCACCGCTAATTCCAGTTCTCTCGCTGTTTCCACCGTATCTGCGGTTACTCCCTCCACTCGTCCTGAAGCCCTCAAAGTCCCCCATGAGAGGTGGAATCGACTTCTTCCAAACTCATGTTAATGTTCACGTTTTGACCTCTTCCCATGAACTGTAAATGTTCTTAATGGCATCTAAAATTGTGAATCCTTTCCAGAAGGTTTTCAATTTCTTTTGCTCGGATCTATTAGAGGATTCACTATCCGTGGCAGCCATTGCCTTCCAAAAGGTATTTCTTAAATCAGTAGACTTGAAAGTCAAAATTATTCCATGGGCTACAGAAATGTTGTGTTAATGGGCATGAAAACGCTATTAATCCTGCTGTGCATCTCCATCAGAGCTCTTGGGGGACCGGGTACACTGTCAACATCTTGAAAGGAATCTCTTTTTTCTGAGTAGTAGGTAGGTCTCAACGGTGGGCTTAAATATTCAGTAAACCATGCTGTACACAAATGTGCTGTCATCTAGGCTTTGTTCTTCCATTTATAGAGCACAGGCAGAGTAGACTTAGCATCATTCTTAGGGGCCCTAAGATTTTCAGAATGGTGAGCACGGGTGTCAACTTGAAGTGACCAGCTGCACTAGCCCCTAACGGGAGAGTCAGCCCGCCCATCCATCCTTGCAAGCTTTGAAGCCAGGCATTTATTCACCCCCATGAAAGCCCCATCTTCCAGTACGAGGCTGCTTCGTCTGCATTGAACATCCGTCGTTGAGTGCAGCCGCCGTCGTGAATGATCCGCCTACATCTGGATGACTCGCTGCAGCTCCTGCATCGGCACTTGCTGCTTCACCTCGCACTTTAAGGTTATGGTGTTACGGAGACGACTTCTTTCCTGAAACCTCGTGAACCAACCTCTGCTGGCTTCAGATTTTCCTCACGCGGCTCCCTCACCTCTCCCAGCCTTCGCAGAGGGCCTTGCTCCGCATTAGGCTTTGGCCTCAGGGGGCACTGCTGTCGCTGGGTAATCTCCTATCCAGACCAATAAAACTTTCTCCCCGTCAGCAGTAAGGCTGAAGTTTCACTTTCTTGACATTCACATGTTCACTGGAGTAGCACTTTTAATTTCCTTCAAGAACATGTCCTTTGCATTCACGACTTGGCTGTTTGGTGCAAGAGGCCTAGCCTTTGGCCTGTCTTGGCTTCTGACGTGCCTTCCTCGCTGAGCTGAATCATTTCTAGCTTTCGATTTAAAGTGAGAGACCTGCAAATTCTCCTTTCACTTGACACTCAGAGGCCACGGCAGCATGATTAGCTGGCCTCGTTTCAATATTGTCGCATCTGGGGGAACAGGGAGACCCAAGGAGGGGCAGAGAGGGGACTGGCTGGTCAGCGGAGCACTCAGAACGCATTTATCAGTCAAGTCTGCTGTCTCGTAGGGCCACAGTTCGTGCTGCCCTGAAACAATTATAACAGTGACATCGAGATCACTGAACACAGATCGCCATTAACAAAAAAGTTCGAAATTTTGTAAGAATTATCAAAATGTGACACAGAGACCTGAAGTAAGCAAATGCTGTTGGGAAAAGGGCACCGAAAGACTTGCTTGATGCGGGTGGCCGCAAACCTGCAGTTTGTAGACACAAGTGTCTGTGAAGTGCGACAAAGTGAAGCTCAGTAAAGCAACTGCACGGGCGCCTCAGGCACCTGGAGACACTCTTAGGCCCAAACGAAATCATCTTCCCAGAAGGAACTTTACCGGGTGTGGGGGGAATGCTAAAATAATATCACCAAGCTCTGCCTGCTCTTTAACAGAGAACCACACAAAAAAAGAAACGGCTTTTCAATGACAATGTAACCAGTTTTTATGCAAGTAACTGTAAATTTTTTTTAAAAAAATTTGCAGAGGATCCAGTTACAAAAAGCACAATTCTGCCACCTCCGAAACTACGGCTATCTCAGTCCTCTGGAAAGAGACCGTATTCACCAAGTCTCCCTATCAGGAAGTCACTGACCATCTCGTAAACACCCACACCAGCTCCAATTGTGGCCACCACATAACTTTATAAAATGAAGTGAGCCTGTTGAAAAAAATAAATGAAAAACTTTCAGCAACCATTAAGTCGATTAACAAATTTCATTAAAAAAATAAAAATAACTAAGTCAAATTTCAGGTGATATAAAGCTAGAGCAACCTAATATTAAAAAATTTATCCTAGAGTAGAAATTGCCACAAAACTTCCTCAAGACCTTTAAACATCAACAACTCCAAAAGGTCTGGTCTACAGAAAATAATTATTACGGTCTGATGGGAGGTGGAAAGTAACAAAAATAAAATGTAAGCTGGAACAACATTTCAAGAAAGAACATGCCTAGTGTGAACATGGCTTTCATCAATTTTCTTCTGTTTAAATGTTTTCTGAAGAAGTGCCTCAAAACTAATACAAGCAAATGAGTTACTACATCATCTATGTGATGATGTAAAATTATAATTACTACTACAATTTATAGGCAAGAGGTTTCAAGCCATGAGTGCTGATGTTGAATTTGGTACTCAGAATTAATGGAGAAAAAAAGATAAAACTTCATGAAAGGGATACAGTAATGAAAGTCTTTCCAATTCCTTCAGGTCACAATAACGCAGGTGTACAGCAAGGATCTGCAGAGGTAGATGATTTAACAAGAAGATACATTCAACCATGACAATTTGCTCACTGGCCTAGCGTGACGGTTAAAAGAATAAGGACTAGAATCACACAGCCTGTACGATTTGGGGCAAGTTCATTAAACAAATATTTATCTGTACCTCCTTCCTCAAAATAATATTACCTATATCATAGGACTGTTTTGTGGACTCGAAGAGAAAGCACTTAGAACTCAGTGTTTTTTCCTTAGAACGTGGTCCAGTGAGGATAACTGATATAGACTGCTTCAAGTTCATTTTTACTTTTGAACTATTCCTAATTTATTCTTTTATCCTCTTACCCAGTGCCGATCTGATACAATACTATTATAAAATGTCCTTGATACTAAAATTTTACCCAATCCTATAACTTCTACAACACTGAATAAATACTTAATTAAAAAACCCCATTTGGGAGATTTCTATCTATTTGCACAGGATTTCTAGGACAATCTACTGACCACACACTAAAGGTTCAAAAGAAGACTGAAATTCCAGAGACTCAAGGTCTAATAAACTGTACTCTCCAAA